TGGCAGGAGGCTGGCAACCAGGCTTCTCCAGTGCATAGTGGCGAGGTTGGTTCCGCCACAAATACATTCAGAAAGAGGTGTATAAAAGAAGTCTGAAATCATGTAATTTGCAACTAATACAAAAATGTAATAATAATATTACAAAGATAAAATTATACAACATATTAGATATTTTAAAGCTCATTAAATATTTTTAAGAAGGCTGAAATTTGACTCCAAATTATGAGTGGATGATTGGCATATGAAACAAATTTAATATATTTATTAGTTATAGTCTGAATGCATTGTATGCCCTAAGAAAAACCCTAGAAAATTAGAAGTAAACATAACCTTTGTTTGAAAACTGTATTAACATGGGGGTTAGGGGAAGTAGCCTTTCACTCTGTAACAGACAGAACATACAACCACAATGTATCCTGAGTTGCCGGAAAGTCATCATATGTACATTGACTGCTACTATCACAGTTACTATTTACTGTGTCAGCATGATCTAAATACACAATACAAGATATTTTATTTCTATGTTAATGCATAGATGCATTATCCAATTTTAGAGACTCATCTCTGTCTATCAAGATTAGGTTTAATGGAAAATCATTTTCCCCATTCAGAACGTTTCTCGTCTGTGTGAGTTCTCTGATGACTGACAACAGTTGAATGTTGCCAAAAACATTTTCCACATTCAGTACATGAGAAAGGTCTCTCTCCTGTATGAGTTCTTTGATGACAGACAAACAATCAGGGACGTATTAGCCGCAAGGCAAACAAGGCATTTGCCTTGGGCGGCATTTTTCAGGGGGTGGCAAAAAAAAGCCGCCCTCAAATGCGCAGGACAAATGCCTAGTTAGCCTTGTGGCTAACAGACATGCTGGGCTGGTGAGCAGCGCTGGCTGATGGTCGGGCGGGCGGCTGGCGAAGGAGCACTTCCTCTGAGCTGACTGCTCAGCTCCCTAGCGCGCCGCAGAGTGAGGCTGGGAGCCGGGTTATTTTAAGAATATTACTGAGTATTTTTAACATGTATAAACATTCTAATGTTGATCTAATGTCTGTTTATATACATATATCGTTTTTGCTTTGTTTTGATCTTGTTCTAATTATGTTAATTTTATACTTCACTGTGATTGGCTGCTGAAATTTTGGCGCCATTTTTAAATGATAGTATATGCTATTTAAAGATTCTTCTGCCAGGTATCAGGTTCTTTACCCATATTGATAATGCGTTTATGGTTATTATATTGTGTAATTTTAATATTAAAGCATATTTGGTAACTTTTATTGTACCACTTATCTTTTAACACACATTCACTTTTACCTGGCATCCTTTTATCGTACCTGGACTCCAAGTAATCCTAGGTGGGGATTATACTACCAACACTAAATACAAGGAGCAGTTGACCTGCTCCTATCTTGTGGAGTACCCATTTCTATTCTTTTATTTTATTCCTAAGTTGTTTATCCAGAGAACTGTGTTTCTATGTTTCTATGTTTCTATGTTTCTAACACTATTGGCTGTTTTTTTATACCGAGTGCATACCACACCAAGGACGGAGAAAGCAGACGAAGGACACTCCATCTGTCTCCCATAAGCGGGGATCAAACCGCTGTACGTCTTCCATACCAGAGCAGGTTACAGCTCTGTCAAATGTGAGTTTGCATTCTAGATTTTAAAATTTCTATCACCTCCACTGCTGAATATACTACACTATTTGGTTCTCTATGTATCCCTTATCTCTTACATACGAGTGGATCCATAAGGAGGATATTGTAACGGACCGTTTTGCACACAAGGGGTAAAAACCGTTTAGGCGATCAGCCCCCTTTCCAGAGATCCAGGCACAGCTACTGCAGAACACCAAAACTCACGAACTGGATACAAAATAGCACTCCAACTCCCGAACTGGAACCTCCCAAATAGCTGCTAGCAGACGAACAGAAAAAGCAGACGAACAGCTTACACTCCTGGCAATCAGTCTCTAACAGCATACAGTGAATCCCCCCAAGAACGAGACAAGGCTCCGTGTTGAGGGTCAAGCAGTGGTCTGTTTAATGAGGGCTACCTGCCCAGCTTTTATGCAGGTCTCCCACCTGGTGGACACTCCCCTAGGGGACCAAAATGGGAGACTGTGACAAGGGACAGACAAGTATACAAAAAGGACACACAGTCACAGTATATTCCCACAATGCATCCTGGCTTCCTCCCCTCTGCCCTGGGAGATAATTGGGAAGTAATTCAATTATCTCCCAAGACAAAGGCAAACCAGCATAACACTTTTTAAAATGCACAAAGTAACATTTACTACATAAACCACAGACATGTAACATATCCCCAGATAGCTAAGGTCTGAGTGCACATTATTAGGTGAATGGCACTCAGACTACACGAATACAGTTCAATCGCCATGGAGCCAAAGTCTTTACAGTCAGTTTCATACGAATGGGCTCCATGGGATTCCTATCTGGGGTATAAGACATTCACACAAAAATACCGAACACCGGGTCATTCGTGTGCTTTCCCCAAACAAGAAGGGAGGTCGGCGGCTTCAGCGGTGTTCGCGCAAAACTGTGTCCGATTTTAGTTCCATGAAAATAGAGGCGAACACCGCTGTTCATTCGTACGGTTTAAAATGGCCGCGACCTCGTGTTCGGGATACGAACGGCGGCCACCCAGCGTTCATCAATTAAGCTGCGGTTAACCGCAGCTTCAGGGAGGTTAATTGCCGGCACACTCCAGCTCCCAGGTGGTCCAGTCATTCGTACGGTTGTTCGGTAGATTGAAACTACCGAACAACCGGCAGAAAAGCACGAATACAGCTTTTCTGCATGCAAAATAAAGTCTTTTAAAAGAGGGCCATAGTCCAAAGGCAGCAGGCGAGCAACCAGGCTTCTCCAATGCAATGTGGCGAGATTGGTCTCGTCACATCTCTCCCCTTTTCCAAACAGACTAACAGGGTATCTGACCTCCTGCCGGTCAGTGCCCTTGTTAGTCCAGCAGCCTACCCACAACAAATAATCAACAGCACAGCCCACCCACAATAAATGGTTACTACACCTGGGTAAAGGAGAAGCTTGTCCATGTCCAGGTGCCTCACCACGGCTGTGCTGGGTACGGGTACGCTGACTTGGTGGGTTGCTGCGTGGGCAGAGACCAGCTGCACTCTGCCCTGTTGCCAGCGCTACTGGGAGGGTAGCCTGGTGGAAGCCTGGTTGTTGGAGGGGGAGACCGACTGTCTCCCCTTTAAATACACCGCTCTGCTGCTGCTGCTGGAGACTGACTGTCTCCCCTTTAGATGCACAGTCCTGCTGCTGGAGACCGACCGTCTCCCCTTTGGTTACCCATCTCTGCTGCTGGAGGGGGAGACCGACTGTCTCCCCTTTGGCTAAACAGCCCTGTCGCTGGGGGGCAGGACCGACCGCCCCTACCCCCTGTGCTGGCAGTGTAGAGACTACGGTCCCATCTGCACGGTTGTGGGGCTTACTGTCTCCCCCTGGTACATTAAGCTGCCGCTGGGGAGAGGGGGTAACAAGCTCCTCTCCCATACATACTTCCAGCTGCGGGGAAGGGAGACCGACTGTCTCTGCTCCCAATACAGAGTCCTGCTGCTGGGGAAAGGAGACTGGGCTCTCTATTCCCGGTAGGACACTCTGCCGCTGGGGAATGGAGAGTGGGCTCCCAATTCCCAATGATCTGTGCTGCCGCTGGGGAATGGAGACTGGGCTCCCAATTCCCAAAGCATCATACTGCCGCTGGGGAATGGAGACTGGGCTCCCAATTCCCCAAAAATCACGCTGCCGCTGGGGAGGGAGGACACTGCTCTCCTCTCCCTGGACTTCACACTGCCTTCCCGGCATATCACTTTGCTGCTGGGGGGCAGGAACAACTACCTCTGCCCCCTGTAACTCAGCCTGCCGCTGGGGAGGGAGGACGCTGCTCTCCTCTCCCTGCACTTCACACTGCCTTCCTGGCATATCACTCTGCTGCTGGGGGGCAGGAACAACTACCTCTGCCCCCTGTAACTCAGCCTGCCGCTGGGGAGGGAGGACGCTGCTCTCCTCTCCCTGCACTTTACGCTGCCTTCCCGGCATATCACTCTGCTGCTGGGGGCAGGAACAACTACCTCTGCCCCCTGTAACTCAGCCTGCCGCTGGGGAGGGAGGATACTGCTCTCCTCTCCCTGCACTTTACACTGCCGCTGGGGAATGGAGACTGGGCTCCCAATTCCCAATAAATCACGCGGCCGCTGGGGAATGGAGACTGGGCTCCCAATTCCCTGCAGAACCGGTGGAGAGACCTCGGTCCCATCTCTACCGGCCACCTGGGGTTCTTCCCAGTAAAACTGTACCATCTCGTCCCCTCTGAATGGGTCTGGCTCTGGGTCTGTCATGCTGCTCTCCCGCTGCGCCTTCTCACTGTATTGGAACAGCTGCTGGTAGCCCTGTTCTAGCTCCATCTCCCGGGTTACCGGGTGGACCAGGTCTTGCTCAATTTCGTGAGTGTCGTCCCAGTCATACCTGCTCTCCCTCCACTCCAAGAGATCACTGAACCGGGCTTGTGTAGGGCTCCCAAATTCGAGCTCTGAAAATGCCTCCCATAACAAGCCAGGACCATCAAACTCCTCTCCCTCTGGCTTGTCATGCTCGGCTGTCCAGGGTAGGTACTGTGCCCCATACCACCAGAGCGCCTGGTAGGCATCTTCCAGCCAAATCTCCTGCCATACCCGGTGCTCCAGTTCCTTCACCCATTCATCCAGGGGCTGTTCTCCCAGGAAGGGCATCCGCAGGGCTACTCGCTTCTGCAACCGCTGGTCTTCCTTGGGGAGTCTCTTGCCCCGCTGGTACTCCA